ACTCCTGCTAGAAGCAACTTGGGCACGAACTAACTTAGGGTATATCACTCCTAGCTATGCCCTATCTAACCATCATATCCCCGACTGAAAAGCTTTTTGACACCTCGGGTGGTTCCCTCGTTAGACATGAATCTTGTGAGAGAGAGAGAAAAGCAAAGTGTCTACCTTATAGACGACAAAATCACGAGTCTTGGGTAGACTCAAACAATTGTTTCTCATTCCATTTGATTAATAGATTTATGCAATGCGCTGAAATTTTTACAGAAACATCAAAACTCTGCACCAAAAAATAAAAATATCTTTGTAGTGAAGCAGACTTAGGAAACGAGCTTGAAGAAATGTTAAACCTTATATCGTCAATAATTTTAAGTAGTGCCTTTTGTAACAAGTGAAGAAGAACTGTAAGAGAAAACCGAACTCGATGGACTAAAAGTTGTGTAAAATTTTCTTCAGCTTCAACGGCTAAGCTTATATATCTAAGAAATATTTTCAATAAAATGAGCAAATCCACAATGTATTTCCTGTTTTCTTTATAAATACTACTGCTTCATCATTATTCTATTTTTCATTAAAGCAGATCGAAAACTCTTCGTTTAATTGTCAAAATCGAATAAACATCAATCTTGACATTCTGTAAGTGCACGTTTTTTTTTTTATATAAATTGCGAATTTTTTCAGCCTGTTTCAGGTTTATACAGTCCAAAATGTCCGTTCAGAATAAAAACCACTAACTGTATTTCATCTGCATGGCATCGAAAGATTCGTCCTCCTCCTCTTCCCTATTCTTAACTTTTCGGAGAAAATCTTATAAAGATTGTTACGTCTACTCAAGATTCAAAACGTTTCGTCACGTTTACTCTAGCTATACCATAGGTTGCTACTTTGTATTATTTGTAGCTTTCTTTTGTTAAAAGATATGAAAATAATAAATCAATTAGTGTCTATCTAACATGTTGTCTAGAAAAAAAAACTTAGAAATAAAGAAAATTTTTCAGATTTTCGAAGACGTCGGTAACCTTCTGCATGGAAATGATGTCAAATCAATACTCATTTCTTTGATAAAGGATTATCAAAAAGTAAATTGACAAAGTGTTCGTTCATTTTTCAGCCGACTATAGAAGTTTTGAAAATATTGAATTTAAATCGAAATTTTGTATTGTTTCCGAGTGTAAGTCAACATTTCTCTAGAACTTCTGGTTTCTGAATAATGAGTCGACCTTTTACAGGCGCAAAAAAATCAAGTTTCAACGAGGAAAATTAACTTTTTTTGCATAGAATTGAACAAGAGATTGTTCTCTACACAATGACATATGAATCAAGAGTTTTAGAAATAACCGAGCTCACTTTGCAAGTCTGTTTTCTATAGAAATCGAGAAAATTGGCATGGCATACCTTACTGGAAGACTCATTGTTGACCAATGACTTGGAGAAAACTAATCATTAGTATATCATTTTATAAAGAAATATTTACTCTTTCATTCGCTACATTTCGGATAATTTTCGCCTTGCAAAACCTTGCTTCAAAACTCTTAAACCCGAAGTCATAAAAACATATTCAAATTTCTGTAGACTCCTTTAAAAGGCTGAATTTTATTTTTCGATGCTAAAATTTTTGCTGCACATATCTAGACCAAGATTCTTTTGTTTTGTCTAAAGATAATGTCTATTTTTCACACATTAAAAATTTGTAGAAGTTCAAAAGCAAATTAAAGACTCATGAATATCTAATTTTACTGATAAGACAAATTTATTACTCGTTCTCAATAAAATTTCTCGAAAATGTTCATAATATTTAATTTTTTATTCATCTTTTTGATATTATTTAATTGAACTATAAATCATATTATTTTATATTCAAATAGATGAATATACCTTCCATTTCTTTCTGTAATTTTTTTTCCATATCATCACATTGTTGATTATTTGTCATCTTGAAAATATAAATAATAAATATACAATTAAGCGCCTATGGCAAGTTGAGGTAATCTACATAAACTTGCATGTGCATCAAACTTTTCACCATTGCATATAAAGATTACAGTTAGCCTCGCTGCATTAGAAAAGAGGGCGTTGAATATCAGTCTATTTCATTGAAACATTTGTATATGTTCATATTTGAAGAAAAGAAAAAGAATTAAATATTTATATCTTCAATGGTTTTCATTTCAATGTGACATGATTTGACTCTTATCACAAATGATATGATATTACAGATGCAATGAATACACGTCATCTTCTGTGAAAGCTTTTATTAAAACACAACACAACTAAATAATATTAAGCTCATTTTTGCATATATGAACGAATTATATGATTTGGTATTTTTTGCCAAAATAAAAAGCAAAAACAAAGAATATCATGTTATTCAGTTTGATTTTCCACGGTGAAAATCTTCAATTCGAATCAACCCGATATGAAAAAAAGGCTTAATTTCTCTTATTGAGCATCACAAATCTATAACACTATTCCTGGCAGTTAATATAAAATATTCACAATTGTTTTTCTCAGATATCAACAAATTATCGAAATTCTCAATTTTGACAGATTTGTTTTATGAAAAAATATCCTTTTGTGAAACCTCTAATAAATGTTTCGATCCAACATTCCATGTCGATCAGTTCCAACCTGTAGGAAATCTCAATAGTTCATCCGTATTATTTATATACTCTCTATACATATCAAAATACGTTTAGAATACTTCTTTTAGCTTTTACGTAAAGAAAAACAAATTTTGTACATTTTAATACTTTACTCAAGATATATCGACATATATTAGACTTCAGATAAATATTCATTTTGGTAACTCATTCAAAAATTGAATGCGATTATATATTAAAGAGAAAGTGTTATTTTCATCGCCATTGACATGATATCTTACTGTTTTCAACAAAGAGTATGACGTTTTTCTTCTAAGATCAGTTATTTGGAATTAAACCGAAGAGGAAACATCATTCTATTTAAGACAACGTAGATAGAGATAATACTGTGAAATTTTTATAATAAGAAAATGACAAATATTTTACTAAGAAGCTTTTCCTAAACATTGCTTTAATTTTAATGCTCTTTTCGCTTCAGACCAAGGAAAAAGAGTGCATTTGAGCCTTTCACACTTCAAAATTTCAGATAGCTCTTAGTGCAAATAAGCATCAATCGGTGCATACTGATATCAAAAATAAATTTCAAATATTATTAATCGCCGAATGATATAAAATGAAGCGCTCAATCCATTCAAATGATTTATTTAATATCGAAAAAAAATACCATTCTCATGAAAGAATAAGTATTGTGTCATATGTTCAACAAAACATAATTCAACTTAAATAAAATCAAAACTTTTTATGAGAAAAAAACCAAGAACTTCTTTGTGGTTCAACAACAGCTGATTTTTCGTTTTTCTGTTCTCTTTTGTCTTAATCATATGTTCGTATGTGCGCATAACAAACATAAACCCGTTCAGATATGACATTGACAAAATTACAAACAGAAAAAAACGAATGACTTTAATTTCGATAATAACTAACGAGTGTCCCAAACGTCCCTTTCTAAAAGTTTCCTTGTTTTATTTCACTGCTGACTGGATTTCATTGATTAAGCTTTTTACGGATAATAGAAAAATACACAAAGGTTTTAAAGATAAAATTGAAAATCATTGTTGAAGGCTAAAATCTTCACCCAAAATACAAACTTTAGCCTATTTTCTTTTTCTATAAAAACATTACATATCATTCGTGTAATTCCATTGGAAGTCAACCAGAAAAAGCACAGAGTATTCAGAATTTTTCTTTCATATTAAACTTTGTGAAGCTTTTCATGCTGATCATTTTCGTAAACACGTCTGCAAAGTTTGATATGAAAGAAAAGTTCTGAATACTCTGTGCTTTTCTAGTTGACTTTGCATGAAACTACCCATTTCTTTTTTAATTACCTAGAGTTGTCGAGTAATTCAAATCTTTAAATTGTCCAATGTTTGAACAGTCGTCTTACGGAATTTTGTTTTGGTACGTCTTTACAAAAACGAAATTAGTTGTACGAAATCAAAACTCAACCAATTAAAATACACACCATCTATGAGGATTTCTGGAAAGAGAAAACAGGTTAAAATTCTTTATTTTCGCTGAGGGTCTTAGCTTTTAACAGTGCTTTTGAATTTTATCCTTGGAAATAAAAACCATGTGCTTTTTTCTACTATCCATAAAAAACTTACTCAATGAAATCCAGTCAATAGTGAAATGAAACGGACAAACTTTTATGAAGGAACTTTGAAGACACCCGATATATATACATGTATTACTCATCTCTTTAAATTATGGTATCTTCGCCATCATTTATTGTTCTGTTGCTCTCTTAATAATCGTATTTGTTGCTTCACGTTTCTGTTCTTTCTTTTGTTCTTTTTTTCCTCCTTATTTTATTTTAGTTCATATCACCATTGGTATTTATGATGATGAAGCTCAATAGCCCCTTTAGAATCGACATCGTCACAGGGCTAAAGAATACTAATAATAAAAAAAACAGAGTTTTGACGTATGCCATAGCAATATATAGTTGTTTGATAAAAACGCGTATGTTTTCTTTATTCTAAATCAATTGCGCCAGTAGCTGAATAAGCTTTTCGCCATGCCAAAGCTCTAACGTAATCGCGGACTGTTGTGCTGCCCTTTGGTATTTCATTGTTTATTTGTATCTTTTCATATTCCTTTAAAACCTCAGCTAGAACCATATCTGTTGAGCTAACATTTACCATTTCTTTGATTCGATTTTCTTGTCGACGATGTACAAATTCTTGTAACTCATCTCGATGTCTAAATTTGGAAAAATACTCATCATTGTGTAAGCAATGGATATGCCAAGCATCCCATACTGAATCGGTCGAAAAAGATGGATGATCTATAGCATTGGATTCATGCTGATGCCCAAGAGTCGATGAATAAATATGATTGATGGCTATTTCACCAGCGTACAATGATGTGACATCTCGCCACCATTTAGGCCATGTACCAATATCGGGTAAATCTTGAATGCCTAGAGAACAATAAAGTTTTAGTCATACCTTATGTAGTGCAATATTTTTCTAGAGACTGTACGAATGACAGAAAAAACTATGATTTCAATTTTCTCACAGTACATTTCAGCATTCATGACCAGTAGATCTTTCATGAAGAAACTATTCACAATAGTGTTGATACAGATGAAATATGATGTTCATACAAAAAATGTCTAACAGAGTCTGAAAACGACAGCCTTGGAACAGTATAAAGCTACTACTATCTATGAAAAGAAAATGATTCATCTGCAAACTGAAAACGTCTACACCAGGAGACAATGTTTGAAAAAGAAAAAAAACTTCTAGCTTGATATGAGTTTTCATTGACGAATTCATGACAAATTACTCTAAGAGAATTGTTTTCTTTATAAAATTCATGCTGGATAATAACAAAGGTTTGATTGAATTCACAATAGTGACCTAGTAGTTCAGTTAATATCTATTTTATAGCTATGCGAAACGAAAGGTTAATAATCATGATTCTATGAAACTGCATCAGCACACAATTGTTCCACTACTTCTAGTTCACTATTCCATCTCAATCAGTAAATAACAATTCTTAAATGAAATATAGTTTTTATCATCCAACTAGTCGCCATTGTTTATCGATAGAAAGAGAAAAGACAAAATAAAGCGTTTATCTCATACCAGAAACTTTACGTCCGAATTCATGTTTTAAAAAATGTCTGCCAATGATTGTTGTCAGATTTGCAATTTTCACTGAGTCATGTGGATTGACTAGCCATGTCGAACATAGGCTATGTATACCAGAATGATTGTAGCCGAGTTTCTTTGCAATCTTTCGTAGTCGATCATGAGTAAAATCCTCTCCATGACCGACTGCTCCAAATTGCATGGGAAGCAATTTTTTCGGATGTTTCCCAATTAAACCCATGAGCAAACCAGGACTTAGAAGAGCATCTTGATCCACTCTCAAGATCCAATGATAATCGACAATGGCTTTTCGATATTCTTTGGTTAATATAAACGCAATCGATGTCATGTATAGATAATCGCTCCATTCTTCGAGTATTTTGGGATCTAGTACTTCATAAAAACAAGTGGCTATCAGATCTAATTTCTTTTTGTAGGAAAGAGGTAAACAAGCCGATGGCAATTGGTGACAGCTTGGTTGTTCACAAAATACAATCAAATCAGTAACAACTTGTTTTGAGAGAGGCCAAAAATTCTGGATAAATCGCCATGATTCATATAACAAATGAAATTCAGCAATATGACTGGTCTGTTGGGATAACGAGAGTACGACTGCTAAATGAACAACATCGGTTTTGCTTTGTACTTCCAGTTTCGGAGAAGATGAAGTAGTGATAGTATAACTAGAGGTATGAGTAAGATTCTCATGCAAAGTAGTACAAGATATATGTCTTTCTCGTCCGTAGTATTGTATAAGCAGTAAGAGAATATTAATTGTTAGAACAATGAAAATGGCGTATGAAATTCGTTTATTACGAAAAGAAATCATGGTTTTTGATGTTCAGTAATAAGAAAAATGTGTAACTAAATGCTGAAGATATTTCAATGATTGTATAGCTGTATCGGAATTGTGTGGATCGTTGATATTCTAGTGTATTATTTAATGGAACATAGTGGAAAACAAGTCACTAGATGTTTGCAATGTAAATTAGTTGTGATTGTTGAGTATAAATCAAAGAGCATTGACATGGGTGACTATTGATTCACCATTCGATTTTTCTCGATTAATACAGTTTCTTTTTTTCTTAACGGACCTTTTGCAATAGTGAAAAAATGCACACGGTCACGTTCTAACTAGTTGTAGTAAATTATATGCACGCACATGGGTATAGTTATTCAAGCATGAGAATAAGAAAAGAAGAAATACATAATATTTTGATTTATCTGTTGCTGTCAACAAAAGCCTTCATACGACATTGTTTATAATATTCTTTGCACGGTTGCTCGTACGAATAGTTGATCGCTTGAATCTAGAATCGAACTCCATTCGGTTTCGTTTGTACTGACTACGGACTGCAACAAAACATTATGCAAACTGCTTTAGATTCTGAGAACGAATATACACTCAATTTTGACAATAATTCTTGGAGAAGCCTAACGCTTGTTGCTACTACTCAGTGAAGAATTTCAAAATCCTATGAAAATAATCGAAAGCCATAATCCAATTTTTCTGCACGCAAATCAAAATTTTAATCGATCATAATTTGGTTTTTGTTTCGAAATAGTCATGTGAAATTCCTCATATATTTTGCTTCAATCCGATTTTGATTCATCTTTGACACTGCCGTACTAGTTTGTAAACGGTAAGATGAAATAAAAATAAATAGAGCCCTTTCTCATGTGAACAAGGCAGAAGAAACTAATTAAGATCAGATTTTTCGTGTATTCTTTGCATGGTAATTATTATTTCTAATTCCGTTTTACCTGTTAATCTGTTTGAAGCGACTGATTACGTGTTAATCTACTTCAATCTAATAGTACTTATTGATTTATATCAATTCACGATTATTTGATAATCAATTTGAAGAAATATCACTTTTTAATCGATTTCAATGTGTTGTTACTTGTTTATCGATTTTAATCAAATGCGTGGAAGATTAGCGCTTTTCTTGACATTGGAATGGGAAACTAGAATTTTGCATAATTTATTTTTGTATTGCTCTTGATTAGAAACCATGAAGTTGTCACCAAACTAAAGTCCGAAATCGATTAAAAACTGAAAAACCGATTTAAGTTAATTGAAGTATTTTAATCGATATTAATCAATTGTATGCATAATTTTACCTTTTTCTTATATAACATTTATGTGCATGTAAAAAGCTTTTGTGATTGGTATCCTTACAGGTTGTATCCATCTCGCATGTGCCTTCAACTTACGAAAATAATCAGTTTCACTTGGTTACTACTGTTTGAAATCGATTGAACGTGATTCTTGTTTTGGATGAGCTTGCTATTGACTAAAACCAATTCTAACCGGTATATTTTATCTAAATTATGTTTTTGAAAAAGTACTTATATTGTTCATAATCATTTGTATCTTTCTTGTTCTACAACTTCTCTTCCAATAAATTTTGCATGATATTTTTTTTCTACTGTAGTTATACTAGCAATTAATATTCGGACCAAAAGGCCCAATATTAGTTCAAAGCATTTGGCTCTGTATACGACTGGGATAATCAAGAATAATCGGAATAGTAAAGCATTTTTCCAATCGATTCTAATCAGATTACTTGTATAAAAGACAAAGATTTCATAGAAAAAATGGGATTTGTAAATCGTTAATCGAAAATAATTCTGATTTTCTTAGCTTTATTTTTCATTGGGTATGGTTTTAATTTCCATATTTTGTGAATAAGAAGTTTCATTGCTTTAATTCCTCTTATTGCATAGTATTTGAAACAACGGGGAAGAAACTTCTCGACGTCTTCTCTGATAGTTGTCTTTTTATATAATCCACGTATGAATATTAAGTATTTTTCGAATAAAAGTAACAAAATATGACATATTTGTAATTATGTAAGTGATACGGGTTTGTGAATATGAAAGCGACATATAAGATGAAGAGGTGGCAGAAGAAAATCATAGAACAAATGGAAATAATAAATTCCTAACAAACAAAAAGAATCAAAACTGCATACACCAAGTACAAACAACGCCCTAGATAGAACTAATAAACCAATAAAACATGATGAAACGTTTCGAGAACACCATGCTTTATCATGATTCCTGATAATTTCTTCAAATATTATTGATAATTGGTCAACCGAACGACACTCGTCTTCACTGAATGCAAGAGTGTTTTTGTACAACCAAAAATATCTTAGGAATCATGAACTTTATCATATGAATGAGCTAAATCAATAAAAGATATTATTTCTATTTCAAACGATTCTTCAAAATAAATTATATACAGCCTTTCCAGACAGAGAAAAAACGGTTATAATAACGCTCAAAAGCGCTTATTGATTCCATACATACTTTAAACATGTTTTTCATAGTTTTTCCAGTGGATTTTCATTATAAAACATAAAAACCCGCCTCATTTTGCTGCTACGAAATCAATCACGTTTAACTAAGAAATTTCCGTGTTTCTTTAGATCATGTCAAATTGACAGAAAATTATTCATTTGAGCCTTTCACATATTATATAAATATTTTCCTACATTATATTTCCTAAAACAAATTTGTCTAGCTAAAACTGAACGAAAGTAATCGTTTGAAAATTGAAAAATATTTTTCTAAATGAATAAGTGGACGTTTGTAATAAATATTCTTCGTTGAATACTATTGAGTAGAAAAAGTATCTGTATATGAAAATGCATAGTTATATTTTCAAACCATGAAACAATTTTTTGTAAATACAGCGTTTCAAAGTTAACTTTCAGAGTAAAAAAAAGCTATTTTTTTAACACCTCAATTTTGATTCGACATGTTCAAATGCATCAATTTTTATTTGTAACCCATTTAATCGGATCATTTTTATTTGAGACGCGTTTCTTCAGTTTAAAACACTACCTAAAAATACTGCTCAAGCACGTCAATGTTAGATGCATCTTTTGTATTTAGTACACCCAATTCGAACGCGATTTTATACTTATATTCTACTATAAAGAAACATAATTTTCATAACTGGGCTGCAATGTTTTTTTTTTACCTAGGCTTTTGTATTGAAAAACGAGTTTTTTTGACCCAGAAGTTAAAATATCCACATTCTTATTATGATTAAAAATACTATTCTATGATACAAAGTCTGCTACCGTTTAGGTAAATACTTTGAAATATCAGACTCAAAATTATACCGTTTGAATGGACCCATTATACTAGAGATAAATTTAGTTAGTGTTGTGCAGTAGAGTGTATTTTAATAATCAGAAAAATAGCAATAGTCTTGTGAGAAAAGGAGCAAATCCGGATGAATTATAACGAGTTTAAACTAATTGATAAACGTTCTTGGCTTATTTTGAAAAGCTACTGTTAAATTGATTTTGGAAAAACAACTCATTTAAGTTTTTTCATAGAATGATTCATCAAAAGGTGCTTCTCTTAATTCTGAACAAAACTTCTAGTGATCCATGGTTAGAATATTATATTTATCATATTTTTACTTCATTTAAAGAGATTAGATTTCAAAAAGAATAAAATAGTACATGTTTCGTCATTGTTCTCATAATACTCTCTGGATTTTTTTCAGTTATTGGCTCCCTTTATACGTCGTCGAGCAGTGTTAGTTGCTTTTTTTTCCTATAGTGGCTCAAATATATATAAAATTTCTTCAAACAAAGATGCTCTTTAACCATCACAGTTCTCTTATTCTCCTAAAATACAATTTACAAGTAATACAGATAGTAACCATAACTTTTCATTTTTATAGTTTGTTTTATTTGTCTCTTCATATGATTTCGTATTTTCGGTACCTTCAACAATCAAACTCATGTAGGACATGAATATCGAAGTATAGATGTAACCGGTAAATATAAGGCTATAGTTATAAGAGTATACCTGTATGCATAAAGATGTAGTAGTATAAGGATAAAGATATTACTGTAGATTATAGAGATAAGTGTATACTCCATGTAAAAAATAGCAAACAAAAATCAACAGACATATGATTTTAAGCGATTTCAGGCATAATTGATAGATGAAACTCAAGCAATTGCGACTTTTTAACATTAAATGCAAGATTGTAATCGATTTTTTCGCATAATTGATTAAGAATCGTTAGTTTTTAACTGATTATAATCGTTTTGTTCAGTGTAATTGAGGGTGTGGGTAGGTATGGGTTTGGGTGTGTGGATGTGAGTACATGAGTGAGGGTCTGCTTATGCATGTAGGTGTTGATATGTAAGACTTCTCTCCACCCAAACTCACATCAATACTCACACCCAAATGTCGTATTCTTTA